GTACAGATTCATTCATGAAATTAGAATATGTATCTCAAAATTGGTCAAATAAAATAAAATATTTTGAAAATTATAACCACTGAGCAGGTATTAAACCTTTTTTTATGAAGTCCTCAATTTTTATATTAATGTCTTTATGGGTCAGATTACTTATAAACATATATGAGAATAATGATACACAGTAAAATGATACACAGTTTTCCTAGACTCTCCCTCAAAAATGTGTTTATTTATTTCAAATGTACACTGCATATCACATAATGTGCCAGAGTTAGCTGGCTAGTTTTCATCTGTAGTACTTCAGGGTGCCTTCAATATAAATACAATACATTTGTACAATACAGAAAAAAATAACAAGCCTCTTACATAAAAAAATATATATATGCATCTATATAATATAAGTACAAAAGTTCACCACAATACAAACGATACTTTAAAAATCAGGATGAAAATAAGAATCACATACACTTGTTCATTGAAATGGCTGCTTTATGGCTGTCTAACATTAATTTCTCTGTTCTTTTGTTCACTAATGTTCTCAGAAAAAAATAAACCTTGAGATTTCCAAAGATACCTGGTTGCTCTAGTTTATAATTAGGGGCTTCAGAGTAAAGGGGAGGAAATAAAAATGTATGCCATATTTTTACATTTTTACCAACCATTATGTTTCTCCTCTACTCCACAGTTATGTGCTACAATGTATTATTTACTTAAAATCCCAGTGAAAGTAGAATTTATACCTTTTTAGATGTTTGTAGTTGCACTGTGACAAAATGTGAAAAATTTCAAGGGTTATTATGCATAGTTTTGCAAGGCACTGTTAATTGTTTGAGGCAGCTGGGAACTTCATGTTTATTTAAAATTAAACGATACAGCCTCATAATTCTTAGCTGCCAATTCTTCATTTAGAAATATCATCTCTAATTACAGGGTTCCTACACATTAAACCAGATAACCTACGGCAGAGCAGAGCTGACAGCTGACACATGACTATAATTGCAAATAAGCATTCCCATTGGGTTTAAAAATTAGAGCTTTCTTCACAGAAGAGGAAATAGTTGCAATAATGGAGAAATATTAAATGGGAACTCTCTTACCGAAGGTCGATTCTTCAAGGTTCTGTTAACAATGCAGGAAAAAAGAAAATTATGACTACAGCTCAAGTTAACCTCGAATGTGTTTATGCATGAAGGACAAAGCTAAGGCAATGAGAAAAATGTTATTTATTGTGAGCGTTCCTGACCAGAAAATAAAAATTGCTAATTGGGTCTTTGCAGGGCAATTTGTCTTTAGTCAAAAAGCTGTCAAATGTTTCAGTAGAGGTTAAAGTGCACCATTGGCGTGCATAATCACTAACAGCATCAGAGCTACCGCCATAGAAATTTGTAGCCGTTTTCCTCCATTTTTCTCTGCTTTATGTCTTGTTTCCTTGTGAATGTCTTATTTAACACTTTATAATTTAACTTTAGTTCTTTTGTGGAAAAAGCGAACATTCAAAATGATTGCCTTCTTGTCATTGTCGCTGTGCCTCTAAGAATTCACATTATTGGCGTTCACAGCAGCGATCCTCTCATCTGCATGGTGGCAGTCCTACTCCCCACACAAGGACAAGAAATTGGACCTCAGTGGGGAGCTAAATGTGCCTTCAATCCCAACAATCCTTTTAATCTTTCATCAATCATGTGCTAGCAGTGCAGAGCCCTGATCCCATTACAGTTTGAGGGAAATGGCTTCAATCTGACAAGCAAGAGAACTGCAGGAAAAAGTTTGCCTTGTAAGAAAGTTGTGATGGCAACCTGGCTCTGTAATTTGACAGGAAAATCCTCAAAACTGGTTTGCTAAAATTAAAAGCAAACAAACTGGAAGCGGCAATTCACTTGCTGTCAACTTGGAGGTCTTGGGAGAACCTCAAAACAAGCAGAAGGTTCAAGAGATTGTTTTCCCGAACAGGCACTAAACGTGGCAATCACCCGGCGGCCAGCAGGGGCCAAATGAAATGCAAACCGCGACGATGCTCTGGATCTCTGCATGTCAAGTTGCTCTTGAGCAGCTTAACAATTGGAGTTTTATCACTGCTGGAAGTCACACAGATTATGAAATACCAAACATTTTGGTCCCAAATTTTTACAAATACCTCAACTCAACAGCTGAAATTCTGATTTATAGTAAACCACAGAGAGATACACCAATAAGAAATGTTCTAGCCAATTTTATATTGCAACGCTCCGACCTGCTTATTCTGCTTTGTTATTAAGATTCCTAGATAATACCGAATCACTTTCCCTCCCGAACTTCCCTCCTCCCCCCCAAAAAAGAATATATGTATATATATTCTGTCTTAATGATAAACTGTTAAATAAAACAGTTTTTCCTTGAGGTTTTCTCCTCTGAGCAGCCTTTTTTGTTGTGATTAAGAATTATTTTCTGGATGTCAGAATGTGCTAAAAGCAGGAGATGGCTTTACACTTTTAAACCAGATTTTATTTGAATTTTTAAACCTAAAGCGATAGTGTAGCATGGAAACACTACAAACTAACTGTATTTGTCTTAGTGTTCCCCATGTTGGTTATATTTAGGATATTCTTCATCTTTTATGCACTCAAATATCCCAACCAGTCACTGAATTTTGTACAGTCTACCCAGATAAGTCTATACAGTAAAAGAGGAATCATTTCTTACAAATATGTTGTCTTGTCATTCAATATGAAATATTGATTACTCTTCCTTTTGCTCTTCGCTGTTCTATTGATTAATTCAACAATGTGAACATTAGAGGGAAATCCCTGTCATTCAGCAACCAGTATGTGTTGCTTTTTGCAATTTGCTGAAGAGAAATATTTGCATTTTATCTGAATATCTATTGTTTTGTGTTTCTATTGTTTGTCAACTGGCAAAATGAAAAATGTATCTTTTATATCCATTCTTGTTTTACAAGAGGTACGAAGAACAAATCCAAAGTAAAGTTGATAATAAATGTTAAAATCTAAAGTTTTAAATGCACTAGCACATAAAGAAGATGCATTCTTTACAAATAAGTGCAAAAAACCCCAAACCATTTGTTTAAGTGTAAAACATCAAAAAATCTTAAATTTAGTGCACTCAACACTATTCATATAAATAAAATGTTCTGTTTTCTCAGCAAGGACATAAATACAAAAAAAAAAAAAAACCCGACCATTTAAAATAGTCATAACAATGTTGCACAATGTAAAAATAAATGTTACAAATACATTAAATATACAATATATCATATAATATATGATAACATAAATAAGAAAAAACAAGATTGAATTAAAAAAAATTAAGAAACTTTAGGAACATTCTCAGCTGTGAACCCATAGCTCTGTTAGGAGGGAGAATGGGCAGCTGCTAAAAAAAAAAAAAACTTTATCAGGCCCCATTTAAAGCCTAATTTTAGGCACAAACAGGTGCAAATGACTGGGTGACTACAACCCTCTGACAAGTGTAAATATGACAGTAAAACAGGAAAACCTGGATCCCAGTGGATGGTGATTTCATTCAATTCAGTTTAATTTTTCAGTACAGTTTCAGTAATTTCATTTCCTCTGAGCTTATTTCTGTTTTATTTAGTTGGGTTCAGTTTGACTCAGATCATGTTCAGTTCAGTTCCCTTAAATTCAGTTAATCTAAGAACAATTCACAGCTAATGTCATTTCAAGACACCGCAAACAACCAAATCCAGATTATTTACAGTAAAAGACAATGCAGTTTAATTCCGATCAGTCCAGGTCATTCCAATGAAACACAGATTTGTTTTTATCAGATCTAATTGTATAAATCTATCCTGGTTGTCATACAGTAACAATATATTAACCAAAATGAATTACCCCATCATCTTTTAGAAAATGTTTTTTTCTACCATGTCTTGTTTGATCATAATAGTTCTTTCAATTATAGAAAGATCTATCATCTTTCCAAAAAGACAGTCAGTTTATCTGTTTGAACACTGAGTATCTGAAAAACAAACTTTCGAATTAAAAAAAAAATTGTTTAAGAATATCCGTGCTCTTTTGGAGGACCTTCACATTATCTCCTCTGGAAGAAGTAGTCTATGAGTCAACTCAAAATAATATAGTTCCAAATTTCTCTCTGTAGCAGAACTGACACATATTACTGTTAATTATGCTACAATTAGTGTTCTTACTCACACGCCGTAAAGCAGCAGCCATCACGGCTTTGACACTGATGCGCTGTGAAACGACCAAAACATCTTCCACAGTGCCAATCACCCGGCTCACTTCATTAGCAAGTCTGTGGTCCTCAGACCCTCACCAGGAACGGTTCATCAAACATCAGAGCACCAAAACATCCCTAATTAGGTGTGCAACTATTCGGCTGAGTGGCTATGTTTTTGGAGGGTCTTTTTTACACCGCATCAGGTTTCATCTGAACAGGCGTTTCTGACTTTAAAGAATGGGTGTTTCCTTCTGCACTGAGTCTAAATCACAAAGAGTATTTAGTTGATAAATTTAGGTTGAGCTAATTAAGATAATTAGCTAAGAATTCATGCTGATCGTCTGAACATGGAGCTGAAGTTTTAGTTGAAGCTAATAGCATTGACTCAAAAAGTCAATAAAAGAAAAACATTTAAAACTGGCTAAGTATTGAATCAAATTTAGGTGGCATTCAACCAAAAGTGTTGGTAAATACAAAATCATTACTAAAAAAAAATCATATTATGTGTGCTGTTTGACTCTCAGCATGATGCATTACCCCTGCTGTGAGAGGATAACATTACTGAATACGAACAGCCTTTCATCATATGTTAGAAAATACCTTTCTTTAAGCCAGTGTTTTTAAAGCAGTCGTTTTCCTAAATATTATGTGACTGCATTAAACTTATCAACAGCTGGTAGTTCCAGGTTTTAATGGATTGAAATAGAGAGTAAAATAAGACCGGGAGTAGTGGCATTCCCTAATTAGGAATTTTATGAGGCATATAATCTGAGTCACAGCACCAAGTCTGGATCCAAAAGCTAACACATTTCCTAACTTTAATACAACAAGAATGAACAGAGGGAGATGTTACATAGCAACTGTGCAAGTACAGAAATGCCCAAACCACCAATATTCATTGGAATAACTAGAACAGTATGTTTTTTTTAAACAGCAAGCTAATATGTCTAAATAAAATGTGGATATTGCAAAAAAAAAGTGCAATATTTCTTACCAGTCATCTCAGAAATTAAATGGTCATTTCATAAGGATTAATTACACACAGAGTAAAATATTTCAAGCTTTTATATATATTTTTTTAAGAAAACCAAAAATCCAGTGCCTCAGAAAGTTAAAATATCACAAACCAATCAGAAATGAATGATTTAAGCACAAATGTCAAACTTCTGAAAAGTGTGTATATTTCTGCTTGGCTGAGCATCCTCACTGTATCAACAGCACAGAAGCAATCTGGTTAATAGAAGCCCAGATTATTTTGATAGCTGACTTCAGGTCATCTTCCTTCATTGGGTCTGGCGTCCATCATTTTCCTCAGCCCAGAGATTTTCTATGGGGTTAAAGGTCAGGGGAGTTTGCTGGTGAATCGACAACAGGAACACCATGGTTATTGAAGCAGCTTTTTGATACCTTTGGCAGTGTGGGCAGGCGTCAAGTCCTGCTGGAAAATAAAATCAGCATCTCTGTACAGCTTGTCAGCAGAAGGAACCATGAGGTGCTGTAGAATTTCCTGGTAGATCCTGTGTTGATCTACCAGGACCGTCACTTTCAGAAAACACACTGTACCACAACCAGCAGTGACCCCAAAGTGTCGCCGACTGTGAAAACTTCCCACTGGACTTCAACCAACTTGGGCTCTGTGCCTCGCCACTTTTCCTTCAGACCCTGAAACCTTGATTTCCAAATGAAATTCAGAAATTACTTTAATCTAAAAACAGAATTCTGGACCATTGCACAACAACCTGGTTCTTTTTCTGCGTAGCTCAGGAAAGACATCTCTGTCTCTGGCTCAGTTGTGACTTGACATGGAGAATGCCACATCTGTAGCCATGTCTAGTATTTGTCTGTGTCTTGGTTCTTCTTGAATGGATTTCACATGAGAATCTTCTACCTGTTGCACCTTTTCCTACCACACTTCTTCCTCCCACTCAATTTTCTGTTTCCATGCTTGCATACAGAGCTCTGTGAACAACCAGCTTCTTCAGCAATGACCTTTTGTGTCTCCTTGTTACCCAGAGTGAGAAACAGTTTAAAGGTGCAGGAAACCTTTGCAGGTGTTTTGAGTTAATTAGCTAATTAGAGTGTGACACCAGGAGTTCCCATTAATGACCTTTTCCACAATATTCTAATTTTCTTAGACAATGAATTTTGAGTGTTTATCTGTAAGCCGTAGTCACCAGAATTACAGAAGACAAAACTTGTAATATGTTTGAATTTCACTTTCTGAAATGACTGATTAGAAATATTGCACTTTTAAGTAATATTCATTTTTTAGATGTTCTAAGAGATGGGTTTTTCACATTTAGTCTCTTCCCATATGTTCAGTATGTTTGAATAATAAAAAAGACAAAGGTGATTATGAGAGCAGACAGCCATGGACAGTTAAATTACATGACTGTTGATGCAGTGAACAGGTAATTGTATCTCCATCTGGAGTGCTGATTAAGAATAAGCTGTGTGGCTAGATGAGGACAACTGTTGGTACAGTTTCCTGTATTTCTCTAGATTAAATTAGCATTCAGCAAAGCGTCAAAGTCTTACATTAGAATATCATAAGTGATATTTATAAAACAAGGAAAGAGCAAAGATCGTTAAAACAGACAATCTGGTACCACATTGGAGTCTCGCTGACTATCACATCATTATTCTGCCACCAACATGTTTCACAGCCGTGATGAAAGACAAGGTGACATGCAATGGGATTTTTGAGCAGCACATAGCATTTTGCTTGAAGGCCAAAAAGATGCATCTTGGTTTCTTCTGACCAGAGCACCTTCTTTCAGATGTTTGGTGTGTCTTGGTCATTTAAGTCAAGCTTAAATCCCCACAGGGATTTAGGTTTGACTTAAACTTGAATCCCTGTACAAAAACAAAACACCTATTTGGTATATTAGTGCACCAATAATTGAGCTTCCAGTTTCCTTAATTTTGAGTGATCAGTGATTGGCTGACACTTGCATAAAAGTGATCTTATCTTAACTTATCTTATCTTAACTTATCTTAACTTATCTTATCTTATCTTATCTTATCTTATCTTATCTTATCTTATCTAACTCTGGAAAGGTCTGAAAATCAGCCACTGTCCCCTTTCAGCTGTGAGAGAGGGCCACCTGACAGACCCGCCCACCAGGTCACATCAGCTCGTGCAGAGTTTAAAATATTACCCCATTGTTACCAACTTAGGGACTTTATTATTTTTAGCAACTTTTTAGATTAAACAACAAAAAAAGTAGCCAAGGTCTGAACCTGTGACCATCGGTGATTGGTCAGAAAACTGCAATTGGTGCCATGTATCATTCATTGTCCTCTTCACACTAATGTATGCTGGTCACATCTCACATCAAATCCGAATAAAATATATTGAAATTTATATTGAAATTTTGTCATACGTCAAGTTGACGTATGACAAAACGGTTTAATATGGTTGAATACTTTTGCAATGCAGTGAATCTATTCTTTGCTGCAGCTTTAAATAAAAAAAAAGTTCAAGTATTAATAATGCATTTTAATATTTAGTACAGCTTTTGTGGATAAAAGCTGTATTTTGGAGGCATAGAGAATGAGTAATCCTTCTGACATGTCACATTTCACATCAACATCAAGCATATTAGCATGCAGTTGTTATTTACACGCCCAGCATTCACAGAGCAAAATCAACATTTATTTGAAGTTTTGCCTTAGGCAGCCTGGCACATGTAAGTCTGGTGTTTGCTTTCTTTTTAGTTCAGTCTTTGGTCTTAACTGACTCCTGAGGGAAATGGCTACCTCTTTATCTACTTAGCGCTCCTCTATGTGTGCTGGCTCTCTTTCTGCTCGCCAGTTGGTTTGTTGCTGTGCTGCAAAGTCCTTAAAGATTGCCACAATAATAATAATGACCTCAGTGATGCTTTTAAAATGACTTCAGACTCTGCAGAGGTTCTGAAAGTCAGGCAAGTTTTTTTTTTTTTTTTTTTTTTTATAAGACGGTGAACTAAAATTGAGGTTTCCTGCTGCTTGAATGGAAATTTCTTTATATTGAAGGTCACATTACAGGGCTTTTACATACATTGACTTGATATATAATGTTCTGTATGCCATAAATTCTGATTGATGGCTGGCGACAGACTACTACTGTGAGCCATCAATTTATTTCTCAAACATTGGCTGGCAGGAAAATTGGTGTGTAGCCATTGAATTACAGCCCACCACCTGCAAACATGAGCCTGAATGCAGCAGCTTTTCCAACCGAAATGGGCCCCTTTTCTCTTGTTGCCTGGGTCAACGGCAAATCTCCCATTCCCACAACGACCCAACCCACAATGCCAGGCCGGTCTTTGGTTTTACATCTGAAAGCATATTTAAACTTTTCACTCATTCACTCGCAGCCTCGTGAGCAGTGAGACTCTGAGCCTGGCCAAGATTAGCTTTTTGGCAGACAATGTGGTGAATTAGAGGCCACACATGGCCTCTCTCTTATTCTCTGGGTGACCAACCACACTTCCAGGGCCAGGAACCCTTGACCAGTCTTTTTAACCAAGAAGAAGAAACTAAAAGTTGGAGATGAGTATATAGCAGAGGATTTAGGTTTAAGAGGTTGACCTGACAATTAGAGGACAGATGGTGTTCTCGTTAACCTAATGTGTGGCGATGATAGTTCGGAGGAAAAAACTGTTTAAAGATCTTTACAGAGGACTTGTAGTTTAAGACTCAAACACAATGCATCTGAATCCACTCTTTACTTATTTATCAATGGAATACTCATTAGATAATTGATTTCAAAATTATCCTGGAATCGGTTCATTCTTAAGTTTTTAATTTTACAGAGGTAATTATCAAACTTTAGTAAAGAGGAGAAAGCCATTTTTAACAATATATCTCTAAATTAGGTGGAACTGTGCTGAAATCATACCACTTGCATTCTCAGTAGCAACATTTACACGAAAGAATGTGAAATTTATTTTACAGCTTACTTGTCGAAAGCTTGAACCTTGTCTTTAAAAACTGACTCAATAGAACCAGTTTCTAAAAAGAACACTTTTTGGTCCTCTCCAAGATGAAATTAGTTAATCTTAAACTAGCTAAGGCAAATTAAGCCTTTGTTTAGAACCACTGGCCACCAGGAGGCGCCCAAGTGCCCTTAAATTTTCCTACAATATGCCAGGACATGTTTAATGTTGGCAGGACAGTGGTGGGAACCGCTAACTTAAAAGTTAGCTGCACTAACTATGAAGCACTAATCATAAACACTAGTTTTGCTAACATGCTATACCAGCATGGTAATTTGATGAAGCTATGCTAAAGCACTACACTCAAACGTGTTGATACCCACCATATATTAGTATCTACAGCTTAATTTACCATATAGCTTACGCAAATTGGAAATACAAAAATAAATTTCATTAATGGAAACATGGCAATTAAAAAAAACAGTTTTTTGATAAAAAGATTTTGTACTAGGATGAGGTTGTTTTTTCAGCCATGTCGAAAATTTTATATTTTGTGAAACTGCAATGGAAAGACTTTTTTCACACAGTGCCAGGTTGTATGCAGCAGCTAAGTATGTAAGTAAGTAAGTCAGTAAACTTTATTTATGTAGCACCTTTCAAAGACATAAAAATCACAAAGTGCTTTACAAAAATGGAAACACATCAATAATACAAGAATCTAAAATCAATTAACAAAATTAACCAAAAGCCAGTCTAAAGAGATAAGTCTTGAGACTTTTTTTAAATGCGTCAGTTGACTCGGAGCAAGATGTTGCTAGAAGGAGAGCCTTCCAGAGCCTCAGGCCACCACCTGAAATGCTCTATCACCACGAGTTTTAAAATGAGTTCTGGGAGCCGACAGCAGCATCTGATTAGAAAACCTCAGAGTCCTGGACGGACAGAGAGGCTTCAAAAGGCCCAATATATATTTGGGAGCCTCATCATGAAGTGCTTTAAAAGTTAAAACCAACATTTTAAAATGAGTCTTAAAATACACCGGGAGCCAGTGGAGAGAGGCCAGAACAGCAGTTATGTGATCTGTTCTGTGGGTTCTAGTTAAAAGCCTGGCTGCAGCATTTTGCACAGACTGAAGGGAAGCCATGGAGGATTTACTTATCGCCACTGCTACAATGGTCTAAACGAGAAGAAATAAAAGCATGGACAATCATTTCTAATTCCTTCTGTGATAAAATAGCTTGCAACTTCAAAATATTCCTTAATAGTAAAAACAGTTGTGAACTAACAATTTGCAATGATAGTCCAATGACAGAGAACTGTCGAAGAGAACACCCAAATTTCTGAGGCTATTTTTATTCAAAGGGTTTAAAAACCCAAGATGCTTCCTGATTTCCATGATTTTATCATCAGGAGCTCTGATAAGCATCTCAGTCTTGCCTGCATTTAACTGCAGGTAGTTGTCGTTCAGCCAAATTTTAATGTCAGACAGGGAGCTACTGAGTTCAGTCAATGTATAAAGCACTTTTATATAGTTACTGGCTCCCTTGGTTAATGCACAGCTGGTTCCACAAGGTCTCACATCGACACACAGTTCATCAAAAGTTAAGTTTGTCATTTGAAAATGACAAACTTAACTTTGTCTTTTGAAAATGTTGTATCCCATGCTCTTCTGTAAAATCACTGACTACAATTTCCCCAAAACACTGCAAATATACGTAGCTGCTTGTTGCGCCAAATCCTGATTGACACTCTAACATCTCCTCTACTGAAAACCACAGTGCTAGAGCTGTGGTTGAACTGTGAATAGCTATATCTCATATAAATGCTTTGGTCCATCACTGCCATAATTGTTTTTTTTTTGTTTTTTTTATTTAATGCATGAACGAACTGTCATGTGTGATTTCAGTTTCATTTATTTCATTGAAACAAAACTATTTCAAAATGGCTTTTTCAAAATTAACAGAATATCAAAAACATTTTGCGAAGGTTTAGTCGTACTTTTGAAATTTCTTATATTTATGCTCTTATGAAACAGAGTGGAGAAAATAGTAAAAATAAAATTTCTGCTAATACTGTCAGTTTTATTTATTTTTTCGACACGATTAGAACACGATTGAGACAACAATAAATAATATTCTTATCATAAGACATATCTAACAGTCAATGAAACAACTTTAAACCATGAAAATGACAAACGTATAACAATTTTAAAAACCCAACTTTTGAAAACCCTGGTATACTTTGATGTCTGCCTTCTTGTTAGCTTAAAATATTTAAAAAGGTAGCTGATAGTTTTTGCTCTGATCTTATCTTTTTCTTACGGTTACATTAAACCCTAAGTAGAGGTGTCTAGTGTTTATGTAAGGCTTAGTTAAATCATTTTTATTTTCTAATTTATATTACTTATTTTTCATATCTTTAATTGTCCACAAAGGACAATGTTTTACTTATTTTCTTAAGAAGTAAACCCTTTCGTTGCTTATTGCGAGGGAAATCGTATTAAAAATAATGCGCTCAAGGTTAATATCGCAAAGTCACCCCTCTGAACTCTGAAATCCCCCCTATAGGATTATGACAGATACTCTAAAATAAAAAAAAAGGGCGGATATTTGGACGCTTTTACCGAAGGGGGCGACCACGCACGGTGGCTCACTCATCCCCTCTCCAAACTCGTAATTGTAAATCGTGAGGAGGAGGGTGGGTAGTGGGAGTGGGGGACCACGCAGCTCACCATTTCCCAGCATATCGGCTGGCGTGTCACCTTATCTCCCTGTGCCGTGTTTGAGGGGCTATCTCACATATTTCTCCCGGAGGATTTTCACGGCGGTTCAGTCAGGGCTGTGCTTGTTAATGGGCGTCTTGGACGGCTGCCTTTCCTCATCCATGTGTGCCCCTCTGAGTGCGCTGTAAGCAGAGGCAGCAGCACCTTGGAAGCGCAGAAGGAGGAGGAGGAGAACTGCTCTCTGCCGTGCCGTGCGGTTACCGCGTCGTGTAGTGGAAATACGCTCGCTTGCTCTGGTTACTATCAAAACCAGTCGGAGAGAAGAAGAAGAAGGACACGAAGTGAAGAAGGCTTCACAGACTCATTTTGTGAATTGTTAACGGGACGGGCCTGCTACCGTGGACATGTCTTCAGAATGGTAAGGTTGCATTTCAGCGTAATATCTGCCAGTGTACCAAGCAGCATGAACGGAGAAGTACTGTAATGCGGGGCGCCGCGGTGATCAGTCGGAGCACAGGCGGTGGATGTTGTTCTTACTCAGCGGGGTTTGCTCGCATCTGTCCCCCCATGAAGCTGGGCTCCCAGCGCGGTGCGTTACCTGCGCCTCGGCTTTAGAAAGGGTTCACAACCCGTCTCAACAAAATCGCTCAGTGCGGATTTGGAGGCTGGTGCATATGGGAGATCAAAAAGTCCTGGCACAAAAAGAAAGAGTGGGTGCACCGTGTCCTAAATGATGTAAAATAAGTAGGTGAATAAATGAGGATGGATGGAGAGTAAGGATCTGTTTCAGGGGTTTGCAGAGATTATGTTTCACAGTTTGACCAATCTTGTGTTCTGTATCAGCGTCTCTGAACAGGCTGCGACATTATAGCAATAGAGATGCACCAATCAATCGACCAGAGCTCGGAATCTGCCGATATTTTTTTGATCTGCAGGTCCAAAAAAATAAATCCGTTGTTTTTGCAATTAGTTAGATGCATCAAAATTTAGATTTTTGGGCTATAAATCAATATCTAACAGCATGTACTTTGCACTTCCTTCGAGTACAATAAAAATCAGACTGGGGTATCTGATGCCATTTATGTCATATTGTATTTGGACAAAATGGAAAAAGTCAAAATTAGAATTGTTTGGTCATACTACAGATTAAAAGTTATCAGCCATAAAACTCACTTGGGTAATGTGCAAAATGACACATTTTATATCTGTTCAAACATCTACCCATCAATTGAGTCAAATCAGTTTTCTGTTGTTGGCTCCACATAAATGATTGGAAAGTCCTGTAATTAAATAAATTGATGAATTCTTATTCTTTTAAATGATCAAACCTAGGCTTAGCGTATGTTGATTAACTTTTATCTGACATTTACAAATCTAAAAAAAAAAACTGTTGGGTTTGGGAAAGCTTGATTGGTTTATGTCAGTATTCTTCATATCTATTTAGAGTTTGGTTCTAAAACTATTGACTGTTTTAAGGTTGGGCCACACCTTCTGAAATGTTTTGCCACCATTAATTTTTTTATTTTTTTCATTTCTATTGGTGGGTTCCTATTAGAGGTTCCAATCAAAGCTTTTCTTGGCCATTACTGGTTTTCTTTAAGGCATTGGCCTGATAATCCCAAGTTACAGCAATGTTGACAATGAATTAACCTAAAATAAAAAAAAAGCTCCAAGTTTTTATTTATAGAAATAGTAGTTTAAATCCTGGAAAATGTGTATATGCTTACAAGATTAAAGCACATGCTGTTGGTTGGTAGATTTATTCACTATAAATTGTCTGAGTTTTACTTTTGATGCTTTTAATAGCCAGAGGGGAAAAAAAGCTAATTTGTCAGCATTTAACCTGCTAATTGCCGATCAAATCCAGTCAAGGAAAATTGGCCGATTCCAATTTCTGGGTGTTCTGTTAGTGCGTTTCTTGTTTCTATTCAAGTTTTCTGTTGCATTCAGTGTAACAACAGCACCACTTTTTGGATTGTGTATGCTCCTTCTGGAAAGGAGGCCCATAGGGAAAACCGCATAGCTTATAGTTTCACTGCAGCAGCATAATAATAATAACATGAATAAAATTCATGAACAGATCTGCCTACAAGAAACGCTGTGGTTTTCAATAAATCAGAAGAAACTGCACACATAGCCTCTATATAATTAAAGTCATAAGAAATTCAGTGTTGAATTTATTATAATTTGAATGGACTTTTTTATTGTTAATTCTTAAGGGGGGGACAGCCTTTAAAGCTGCATTATCACAGGGGGGTCACAATCCAGCCAGTCAAATTAAATGAAATAAACTGAGACAACTGAAAGGCATAATGTAGTTCACACAGATATTTGAGACGGAGGGAGTCAGAGGCAAGAGGAGGACCCCTGGGAGTCGTTTTTGGGGCCCAACACAGCATAAATCAGCGTTGCACTCAGATTTAGCAAGTTGTAAGACTTGCACATAAGCTCACACACGCCTCTCAGAGTAGTGGTGTAGGAGGAGGAGCGCTGATCACAGATTGCGCCTTCATCCTACATGAAATTATATTTGGATGGAGTTTTTTTTTTCTTATTAGCTAAATTAATTAAGAAAGAAGTGAAGGCTAGTTTCGTAAAACAAGCAGCCTCTATTGAAAAACATTTTTTAAACAGTTTTCATGTAATTGTCTAAAATAACTAAAAAATAAGATTTTATTTGCTAGCCAGTAAATACATGGACTCTAAGAATTCATACAATTTTCAGTCAACGTATGTAATTCAATGCATTTCCTTTTTAATTAATTAAAACTCATATAAAGGTTAGGGGCAAATACTATGATGAATAACTGGAGATAATATTGCTATTCCACTTATTTTTCTATTAGATTCAAAACTACATTTACAGAAGACTCTGCAGCACATTTTCTTTATTGTTTTATGCTTTATAGTTATTTGAACAAAAATAAAAAATCATAATTGGCAGGTTATACCTCAATGAAAATCATAAAGCGGTATCTCTCTGTGTTACAGTAGTCTTCATTTTTATTTAATGTTTACATTGAAACCTAGTGAGTTTTTTTGTATTTGAGATTTACTCTACCTTTCCCACCATTTCTTTTTATTTTACAAGTGGGTTCCCTATTAGAGATGCACTGATTATGCTTTTCTGGTCTGATAACAGGGTTAGTCCCAACTTTCTTGCAATCTTTTATGAAGGTAGTGTTTCAAAATCCAACAAATCCAATTTATTTTCTCCCATGTGTTATAGCTGTAAGATAAATAGAAATTGGTATCGGCGGGGAAAAGCCTGATTGGTGGATCTCTTATTTATTATGTTTTATGATAATGTTAAAATATATATATATATATATACAAAGCAGTTTTTTGCCATGGTAGATAAGTTTTCCCAGGACATGCCACAGACACCCAGACGTAAGTTGCCCAACGAAAGAAAAGGAGAGCGGGTGAGTGTTTGAACTCACAAGTGCAACCACTGGCTATATTGGGGGAGGTTTAGGGGGCATGACCTTAGATATTGGAGGTTAAATCCAGGGGAATCCAGAGGCCCTCAATCCTCTGTGGCGAGTGTTTGGTGGAAGCATCAAATGAGAAGCCTGAAGTTGTTAGGTCCCCTCGAGGTTAACCTTTGCAGAACAAGGCTGCATTCTCCCTCTCGTCTTTGTCGTGTTGATGAGCTCAGAGAAGCCGCCTCAGCACCAGTTCTCCCTGCGTGGTAAGTGGGGGGAATGGCCCAGCCTTTGTAGTCACAAATGAAAAATCTGTTGCTCGTCTTTTCTGAGGTGAAAAGACGGGCGAGACGGCGAGCTGCTGTCTCGCTGCGAGCCGAACGCACGGCTGCTCGTTCTCCTGCGAAACAAGGTGCGGATTGTACGGCGGCGCGCAAGCTGCAGTTGGACCTTGTTATATTCCATAAACGATTGTTGTGTTTGAGCTAATGCTGTACGAGGGCAGACGGATGACGGGGAAGAAACAATGAAATGATTTTCTCTCCCTGGAGTTTCTTGTGGGATACTGTGTATTTGAAGTAATAATTGTTATGAGAACTGTACAGTCATCTGGGGAGGCGCTGGCTGTGTGTTGGGACTGGATACAGTGGATGATGAAAAGAATGCTATCCCTGATTAGTTGGAAGAGAAAAAGAACCATAAACGGCTTTCATTTGCCTTTCAGAACAGATAACCTTAAAATTAATATCAGTTTAGTGAAAATTACTTCATTTGATATATCCAAGTTAATTAAATTCGTGTTTTACCCAATACCTACTCTTTTTTTCTTTTTTTATACATATCTATGTTCCAACTGCAACAAGAGGAGATGTGAATTTTCCATTTGAAAGCATTATCTTTAGTCAAAGTTACAGTTTGCCGTTTTATCAAGTGAAAAATAACAAGCGACTGTCACGGTTACACCTCTTTATGGGACACTGAAGCCTTCCTCTAATGTCTTAGACCCATGCACATTCATAGAGACACCTCATTTTTTAAACGTTGACAGAACTACCCCACTTATTTATCACAAGTCGAGTACACTGCAGGAATCTAAAGCATGAGCTGTTAGAGGGACACAGTGATTGTAGATTTGCTGGTTTTCTTTGTTTAGAGACTCACATTTCCTCTGATTGGCTTTTGTATGGAAATATCTCTTATTACATGACATTAATCAAGCTGTGTTTAAAAAAAAAAGTAAACCATATCTTGTCTGAAATATCAACAACAGAGTGAAAAGCAACATAGAGATCAGCAGACAAAAGTGTAAAGCTACAAATCTAAGCAGCATGCTGCAGAAGATTTGCAGCTACGTTTGCACGTTGTCCCACCCACTGATCTTTTCAGAGCTTTTTTACTAAATGACTAGGAGGAAAACATTCACAAGATATCCAGAGCAAATACTGTGAACATGTTCGTTCTCACATGCCACCCATGTGAAACAGCTGTTGAGGAATAAGGACAACAGAAAGTGTGGAGAAACTGCTTTTTTGCATTGTCTTTAGAGAAAACTTCACAGGTCTGTTGTAGTATCCTAAAAACTAATATTTTTGATGCTTTGAAAAACATACATTTATGCTTTTTCTTTGTTGTCTGACCTAGTTTGGGAAAATCCAGTCCCTTGTTCTACGCTTTACGTTGTACAGAGGTTCTGGACCCTCGACTATTAAGAAATGGTTGCTTGAACTCTGCTTAAGTTTTAAACGATTGCTAATGTTTGCCAATTGTGCTGCGCCAGCTCAGTTGTGAAGGAATCTAGGCTATGAAGCTTACCAAAAATTGCGTGCACCGTAAACAACCATCCCAATAAAATATCTTAAACATTACACTTCCAACTTTTTGTACAGTCAGACCTCAAGGAAAACAGAAAAGTCAACATCAGTTTGGGAAGGCCTGATTGGTGAATCTTTTGATAAAACCCAAGCCTATTTTTGCTCTATGACACACTGCA